CTGAAGTAATGTATTCGTTATCATAATTATGTTTATTAAAAAAGCATAGCTAGGTTTTGGCAGTCATTAAAATAATCTTTTAGGTTTTTATTGGAAAAATCACAAACGGTTACTTTAAACAATGCGAGTGTAGCTTGAAATACTAACTTAATATTTGAAGAAGGTGATTTAAATAATGAGAGAGAGAGAGAAAATACTACATTGTGTCCCACGGTTCGACTTGGGGAACAGGAAAATTGTTTCCTTACCGATTCGAAATGGGCACGTAAACGAATTATGCCGATGCTTCCAACGAGATTTTATTTCGATGCTTAAACGATGCGACTTCACGCGATCGTGAATTATTCATGGTCGAGATCCGCACTTAAAATGGCAATCTGTCGCAGATCGAAAGTCATAAAGCGTCAATTGGTTGTCGTAATCGACATCGGAAATACGTACAACTAGTGAAATGGGAATTACTTTGGAATAGAACTATCGATCCAAATACTTCGATTAGCTATTTGGTCAACTCTCTTAAATTTTCAGCTTGCTTCAGCCTAAACATTAATATCAGCGCATAAAGTGCCTAACGAATCTAACTACTCACTTATTAATTTAGTTTATAGCGTAATGGGTCGTCGCTGTACATTGAGTGAATTTTTTTGATTACCCATAGGAAGAAAACACTAATTTTATGGCGATTCAAAATCGCACCACTAATTGGCATCGTTACATATTTAAGAGGAACGTACCTACCGGACTGTTTGTACGTCAGAGATACGGCTCTACGAAGCCGAAATTATTCGATTGTCGTTTTTTGTTCTACGATAATTTACGAGCCCAATATTCAGCACACTAAACATTCTTATTATTAGTTTTGTAATAAACGCAATATTAAGTGCAATAAACGCAATATTAAGTGCAAATAACAAAAGCTCTTGTCGTAACTAACCCATTTGAATCAATTAATACTTGAATAAATTTATAAAAATTATCTAGATATATATATAATTAATTTACCCAACCATTGAATTGAGTAAGTATTTTCACAAAGTATCTATAAATTGTTTTAACATCAATTAAAAAGTTACAAATACCTGCCATTTCTATAACCTTGACCCTTTGTGGATGAAATGCAACAGCAAAACAACACGCGATTGCTATATTTTGTACATAGTTCCTACAAAGCTACATTAATTAATATTAACCAAACATTAAAAGAGATTGACTACAGCACCGGCTAATTAAGGTATGCGATAGTTTATTTACCACTATATTGCTGCAGTACCTGACAATTTGAATGAATAATGTGGTTGCGTGATTTATTTGGCCTGAAATATGCGTTTTCATTTCCAATGTCTACAGAACAACATGTTGTTTGTTTTGCCGCTTACATACTGTTTTTATAATATTATAAAATAGTTCTCTCTGCTATTTAAAACCAGCATTTGCTTTTACAACCAGAAATAAAAATGGCCACAGCTTAGGTACATTAAATATGCGATACACAAGTCTTGTTTTCAAGGATGCCCCTTTTATATCTGAAATAGTAACAATCGATGAGCAATGCATTGCCTGCAATTGCATTCACGTGAACTATAACAATACGTGAATATTATACACCAAGAATGTTACAATTATTCGATTTATTAACGACTTTATTTGATATCAGATACAGGAACAACAGATGCACTGTATCCGTAATTTCGTGTTTTTAAAAGTCTGCGCGACACATTTTTTGTTCTCCAGTGCAGAAATGTTTTTAAAGAAAGATACAAGAATATACCTTATCCGTCTGGCCCGTTTCTACACACATGATTTGTAACCCGACCTTCCGAAAATTAATAATAATTTTTTAGTATTCCCATGCGTTCAGAAATATACTTGTACTTATGCACATTACTGTATTTAATCGCTAGTTAGTACCAATAGCAATAATAAGAAACCTTGGCGTTCTGTCTGTCTAAATTTAGCCTTCACCTAATCTTCATTTCATAAGCTCGGAAAGATGTCACCCCGACACGCAACAGTTTGAAACATTTATATTAGGCACAACTTTAACAGGTTTGACCTCGAATCGCTTTATTATTTATGTAACTAACTATAAACAAAGAATTTTTCGTGCACTGTCATTAAATTATGAGTCATACTTCGATATAGCTCTGAAGGTTATATCATGCCATTGTCTTCAAATCATCATGGGTGTAAATATTTCACTTACTATATAATGTAATTGTCTATTGCGACCGAGTTATATTTGTAAACAAAATTATTATTTATGTACTTTTAGGAGTACAAATGTTTTGATTGAAGTTAAACATATATTTATGTAAGTTGTACCAGTTCGCTAATAAAATTTAAAGAATTCTGTACAGCATTATAAGCATTGCACGTATTTTTGCTAAAATTATTCTTAGTTTTTCTTTTTTTCACTACGAAGAAATTAAATTCAAATTTATTAAATGTGACTGCTCTTGGTAATATCTATATTATTATTACAATTGTTAAAATTAATATGGAAAATAAATTAATATGAGAGTTTATTTGCATCAAACTTATATGTATTTAATTTCGAAACGCCAAATAAACACGTTTTTCTTACAATACTCGATTTTTTTTCAAAAATAAATTGTATAAAATAATAAATTGCTCTCTAAAAATTTTACAACAGCTAGAATTTTAGAAATACTGTTATCCAATGGTAACACACTTCCTTAATATTTAATGTAAAATAGATTTAATTGTTTAAAATATATGCATCATCATCCGGAAGATGTCCCCTGTTGAACACCACAACACGTCAAATCCAGTGATACTCGCGATGACGTCGGTCTATCTAGTGGGAGACTTGCAATATAATAACTTAAAATATAATATCAAACCTTTATCAAAAGTGACAAAATTAATATCTATGCTTATGCATAATTAATTATGTACCTTGCATATTATGAAGAGATTTATGTTTTTTAGACTGCAACAGGCTTGGGAGTCTTCCATTTATTGATGCACTCACTGAATACGAAATATTACCTGAAAATGTTTACAGTATCACCCAAAGTTTTTTTGATACTGATAAATATTAAAGGTAAATTATTACAGGTATTCTGTAATGTATTTCAAGTCAGCGTTTTAATGAATAATTTAATAACTAATTTCTCCTTTCCGACATTCATTTTGTTAGCTCTTATTGGTCTTCGTGTTCCATTTGACTGTCTTACCAAGTATTTTTGAATCGAACAGCGGCAAGTATTTTAGCCACGGTGTATACAAAAGCATGAATTGCGGCCAAGAGTTTTTATGCACTTGAAGGTCAGCGTGATGAGCTGCACGAAGAAAACCTTCTTTAAGCAAAGCTTTAATGCCCTTTCAAAGAAATTTCACTTACCTTACGAAATAAAAGCAAAGCTCTGGCTACGGAAAGCGTATTTTAGATTCTGTTTGTGGTAAATAGGTAACCAGTGTTGGTGTGAAACTAGGACATCGGAAGGTCATACATTGTGAAAACTTACAAGCGGAGAGGATAACTTTTTCTAAATAGTTTATTTGCTTTAATCGCTGAAGCTATTTCAAATGACTTCGAAAGGACTTTGTAAACCAAAATGATATATTTAGAATGCAAAGATAGATAAGATATTTTTTCAATAAAATCATGTCTATTCTATTCCCATACATGGCTCCCGCCCCACTTTAATTTTTTTTATTCTTATTTTTAGTGTTTTTTGTTATAGCGGCAACAGAAATACATCATCTGTGAAAATTTCAATTGTTTACTATCACGGCTTATGATATACAACCTGGTGACAGACGGACAGACAGATAGCCAGACAGCAGAGTCTTAGTAATTTTGTCCCGTTTTACCCTTTGGGTACGGAACCCTAAAAAGAAATTCCAGTCTAATATTTACAAGTATCCTGAATATTTAATCGATATCTACAGAGGTATTCTAAACGGAAAAATGAAGAAAAGCCAATTTTATATAAAGTAAAAAGTCGTCCAAATAAAGCAAGATGTTGCAGTAGTATCGCTTTAACGTGCATATTTGTTTTTTAGTGGTACTAAGACAAAATTGAACGATGCACGTGCTTGGAAAATTAATGATTTAAAGTTATAGTAAAAACACATTTTGTACATTTGTGTAGTAAAATCTTCTGGGACTTTGCCCAGCAGTGGGACATATGTAGAGTTTACTTGCAGAGAACGCCTTTGTACAGGGGAGGTACAGAAGGTATCAAGGCACAGTCCACCACGCGACCTTACTGCAGATTGGCGAACTTCACATATTTTCGAAATAATTTTTGTTATTATTTCGAAAATATGTAGGTTTCCCCACGTTTGCCATCAATGCCGAGCACGTGATAAGTAAGCACTTTAAACAACTTCAATGTTGCTGGCACTGACATTTGAACTCATGTTGCTCGAGTATATTTAAGTTAAAGCGAGCGCCCCGATACTTAGTTATCAAGGTTCAGTGTCGGGGTTTATAAGCTAATAAAAGAATAAATTAAAAAGAAGATAAAGAAGATTATTAATAGGGAATAGCATTTCTATTATTTTTTTTAAGCCTACTTGAGACTTCAGCTTACAATTATTGTATTCCATTATACTCTAATATGATTAGTAGCCTTATTCGATTAGCTAGCTCAATATACACACGACTTAAATATTTAAATTTCAATCTTAAGTTTATAATTTGAACATTGAATAATGATAACCGATAAGATATATAGCGAGATAGTTTGAAGACAAAATTGCATGGTGATCCCTTCTGAATACAGATGGATATATTATGGAAATTGTTCCGTATCAAATGTTGAGATAAGTGACGGTCGCATGCTCGCATGTGTAATATATGCGTTCTACGATCACACTATATTTTGGTTACTCGACATATTGAAATCATAAACTTTCAGGAAAATCTTGGATAATACGAAGTCTTCGAAACAGTGAATGATAAGGGCATTATGAAATCCATCCGTCTGAAAATTATGTTTACATAAGCCATTAGCAAGCGATACTGAATGCCCGACCGAGCGACCGAGATCCGAACACTTGAGATACAAACCGCGGCAAACATCCGAGGCGGCAACATCGGTGGGGCGGCGCTGGCAACATCGCGGGTGTTACTCCCATCCTAGTACGGCGTGTTTATTCTGCCGCGTATATCGACCCGTCCCGCGGGCACGCGCCGCCTAGCCAGTATCCAGTCGTCGCCGCCGCACGGACCGCGCCGCACGTCCCCCGCACCGTCGACACCACCGGCTGCAGCCTGGCACAACAAATCGCACACCAACTGTACTATCCAATTCGCCTCAGCCCAACGCACGACGGTCTTCGTGAGCCACGGTGTCAACTTGACCTTGGACTTGATCGTGAACGGACATTGTCTGATTTGTTGTGTCTTTCAGTGCCACTCATGCTGCGCTGCATTTCGTCCGGTGGATGTCAAAACGGTGAGCGGATTATGTTGCTTTTTTATCTCTCAATTGTTTCGTATGTGAAGTTGAATGCGATCACATGCATTATGATTAATTGCAGTTACCATTAAAATATTGTACATCAGAAACCTGCATTTATATTATTATTGTATAGTAGTAGTAAGCTTCTAACATAAGGAAATATAGGAACGTTAGTTGAAGAAAACATAAATATTGAATATAAATGTAACGGTAATGATTAAATTAAAAACGTTCTCTAATTTTATAAATTACTGTATGAAAGCTTTTACTTATGTGCAAATTGAGGATTTCTTCCTTTTTTTTGTAATTTAAAATTTAAAATCATAAGTTAAAAAATAAAATTCATTATGTGTCAAAGATGAATATTAGTGTAAATGTTTCTTTAAATCTGCAAGTAACAGTACAATGACCGGTTTGTAACGTCTACGTCGTAGCCGTTGTAACAGCGCGTAGCGATAAGTGCCATTCTTTCACTTCGAAAACATTTCAGTGTAACTTTTATTGCCATCTTATAGTCGCTGTAAATTACCGTGATGTACATGTTCTTCTTTATCTTGAATTACTACCAAGTATATGTGAAATAAAATAATTATTTTCAAACTATTAACGTATATATATGATAAATAGCTTAATCATTCATTAATATATTGTAATTTAGGAAATAGATCGCTGGCTACAAAGTAAATATTAATTAGAAAAATTTAATTCGTACAGGTAACAGTTTAAAACAGTAAAAATTATTACTTTTACGGTAACCTCTTTTTTGTGCAAACCATTTTCTCTGGACCGATAGCTATTATTATTATTATAAACTATTATATTATAAACTATTATTTAAAAATTTGTATTGTTCAATCAAGGTAGATTATATTTAAACAATCTAAGGTAAAAGAATTTCTCCTTATACCGAAAAAGGTTTAATGGCATATATTTATGATATATTCTTACGTATCGTATACATTCTTTTAATTTATCCAAAAACATTTTAAAGAGCAAATAAAGTTTATCGAAATGCAGACTTTCAAAAATGAACATTCAAATAAATAAAGCTTTCAGTGTTTTCGTCACATAATTCACATTTAATTACGTGCAGACTCTGGCTAGACTAGTTCTAATAAACTTGATTGAAATTTGAGAGTACTTATCTAACCAGACCTAGTTGATATAAACTTATTTCAATATCAGTTATTTGTCACTATTTTTACCCGCCAACTTCTGTTAGCATGGCATTTACCACTTATCTCAAATATTATCTGCAATTCTTCTGCAATTTAGATTATCTTACCTACACACATCCATAAATTAATAAGATTTATAAATAAATTATTATGCGATTAAGGCCCGTACTTGTGGTTATGGTTCCTGCACCATACCACCTGGACATTAGAATGACAAATTATCTTTTCTCTAGTTTTAGCCACGTATTTAAATTATACCAAAAACACAGTTCACCACAGTGAACTGGTTGCAGTACATTGATTCAATGAATTGCTTACGTAATAAAAAGTAATAAATGTAATCATCTAAAATAAATTTCAATTACTTGCAACAAAACGGACCAGAAGCATACATTTGTTTATTTATTACGTTGTGTGACTTTTGCATATATTATTTTATATTTTATATATTATCTCACGTACCTAATATTCATGGCATATATGCGAACTCTGAAACGTTTCCGAATAGTTCACATCAAACTGACAATATGTAACTGTACAATGTACAATTAGACTGATAATTAATCCAATTTAATATAAATTTAATTCATAGCTTAATTGTAAATTAAGTCTTAAATTAAGTAGTTTGTAGATTAAGGTATATTTGATTTAGGATGGATGAATTTTAAAACGAAGCAAAGAAGACAAGCAAAATGTATACGGGCCTAATTTATAGTTTTCTACAAATTTTAATAAAAAATGTTTGTTATTTTTGCCCGGATTGCCGATATATGAAATTGATGATTTTTAAGCGGTTGAGATGATAAACAAGAAAAAGTAAGAAGAAAGAGCAAGAAATAAAAAAGGCTAGTCTCTTGGCTTTACATAGTAAAAATATATATATTACATAGTAAATATATATATTCTTTGCCTATCATGGACAATCTTGCTTTTTATTTTAATGCATTCTTTAAGGACAAAATTCACTAATTGCATTTATAATAGTGCAAAATATGAAATAAGTTTGGGGAGAAACAAAATCTATTATAATCCACGAACGATCCTTTTAATGTATTCAGTTACCAAGGACTGAATGATTTGATGATACTTTACGAAATGAATACAAATGCCCTTACTGGCTTTTTTGGCTTTAATATTTTCAAGTACTGTCACTATTTCATGTTCAATAACGTTGTTTACAAATTTAAACGGAAAAGGCTTGGAAAATCAAAATCAAACTATAATGATAAAATTAACTACCCCGTTTTAAAAATGAAAAAGACTTGGGTTTTTTAACTATTTAATATAGATTATGAAACTTATAACTTATAAATATATAACTATTGCATGAAAATTTCTCAAGTCGGTCAGGACATGAAGAATCGTATTATTTTCAATAATTACATTTTCCAATTAGTCGAACCTCACTTTGTCATCAATGTATCACCTCTAATTATATTGTACATTCTATGTGATTATTATCTCAAAACGCTGTACGTTGCAAAACTTATAAACATCAATTTGTAAATATGTCGCCAAATCTCTGCTGTAACTTAATTTAAATTGACAGCTATCCGATGTATCCCAACAGATTTCTAGGTTCTAATTCGCGTTTTATGATCCCCACGAGATTAAAATGAGGCAAATCTCTACAACGCTACAACAAAGCGATTTAAAGATGTTGCAATAAAACTCTAGATACCAATAAAACTCAACCATTCGTTCTACGATTCCAAACAAAAATTTGAATGTATTCAAAGAAATTTGATTTAGAAACTTTATTATGTTCTTATATAGGAATAAGAAAGTTTAGAATGTATCATCGATATACATATTTACCTTATACATAAATATATTCGAAAAACCTATATCGAGGACAAAACATTAATTTAGTAGATTATAATAATGTTTTTTTTAGTTTTTTTTTACAATTGTAAAATAAAAAGAATAAAGTATAACATATTTATGTCTTGTAGGGTGAAATAAAGATACACTAAGGTGATAAGGCGTGCATTATTCAAAAATACTTTAGAACATATGAAAGCTAAATTTTTTGAATCCATATAACAATAAAGTGGAGTGGCTATAATAATACGTAAGGCATTTTGAATACTTAAGGCCTCTACGCGACTTTACAATAGAACTTACTGAAGGCGTTCACAAGACACAAGGTGACCTTCCGGCCCCTTCTGTTCATTTAACAACTAAACCTTTCTTTACAATGAACTGCATCTTAACATTGTTGTGCTTGACTTTATTGTTAAGTTTAATCTTTTTATTAAAACCAAAGAGATAAGATTTCGTGATTATAATTGTTAATAATGTAATTTTATATTCTTTCTTTCCGAGTACTTGTAGCAAAAAATTAAATAAAAATGTTCTTGCCATAATCCTTGTAATTCCTAGTGGTATTGGTGATGCAATTCAGTTTTTTATTTTAAAAATTCTCTATACTTTTTCTTTCAAGTTAGATATGAAAAAGATAATATTTGTAAATGTCACCAGGTGACATTTACAAATATTTTCTATAGTAATTCCTCTCAAACTTAAACTCTTATCACGTCATTGAAAAATCATGTTATCAGCGTTTATTGCAATAAAATTTATTTATATCGTAACCCCGTAACGTGTTCCACATATCTTGAAAGGTTTCAATAATTACCAATAAAGAAAAAAGACAAAAAAAAATAAAGAAATATAATAATAAGTCATGAGTTATTGTTTTATATCTTTAGTCTTTTTATTTATCAGGAGTTTGGTGATTTTGAAATTATACTTTAAATAAACAGACTTTCTTATGTAGCAATAAGTAGAATAATAACGAAAAACACCAAATTGGCATAAAAAAATTTGGGCATGTTGTTCACGCAGTGCCTTTCCTATAAGTCCACTTTTATGAGTAGTCGTAAAACAAAAGCTTGGCGGGCAAATTTTATTCCTTAATTAGGTTACATTCCTATTTTAGAGGCGGATTTAAAGCGGGAAAGGTATTAATTTTTAAATTTCAATCTTGTAATGAGTTTTTAAAACAATTATAAGTTTCAACAGAAAGTTATTTTTAAGACAAGCCTCGTATATTGAATTTCTTTGCGTAGCGCTTACCAACCTAATAAAATTTTAAGCACAGAACGTTATTATTGTGACTTATGCGACAAAATCGTAACTTAAGCCACAAATAGATGTAACATGGAACGATTGGAGTTGCCCTTGCAGATATTGGTAAATAGTGCATTCAGGCCTTGACATGACCTTAACCCTGTTCCCTAGCGCGTATTGTGCATACGTCTACACGATAGTTTCATTAAATACTAGCTGCTGCCCGCGACTACGGTTGCGTAGAAAAGGCTCAATGCGTAACATTCAGACAGAAAGATTAGGCTATAATTTATATACATAAAAATATTTTTATAAATTATAGCCTATGTGTTATATAGCCCGATGTATGTAATCTATATTATTATAAAGTTTCAATATAATCCGTTCAGTAGTAATTGCGTGAAATAGTAAGAAACATCCATCCATACATACAAACTTTCTCCTCTATAATATTACTAGCAGCTGCCCACGACTACGTCTGCGTAGAATAGGCTGAAGGCGTAACAATCAGACAGAGAAAGACATCTATACATAAAAATATGTCCATAAATTATAGCCTATGTTTTATTCTGATGTATAAGCTATATTATTGAAAAGTTTCATTAAAATTCATTTAGTAGTATTTGCGTGAAAGAGAAACAAACATCCATCCATACATACAAACTTTCGCGTTTATAATATTAGTAAGGACTAAGGATTTATATTCGGCAAATCTTCTCGTCGAATATACCTCAATGTTTGAAGACTAAAGTCTTCAATCAATGTGTGTTGCCAGTGATGACCTACGGAACCGAGACGTGGTCCTTCACTGCTGGCCGTATGAGGAAGCTCAAAGTCGCTCAGCGAGCTATGGAGCGGGCTATGCTCGGTATTTCTCTGCGTGATAGAGTTCGTAACGAAGACATCCGCAGTAGAACCAAGGTAAACGACATAGCTCAGAGGATTAGCAAGCTGAAGTGGCGATGGGCCGGCCATATGGCTCGTAGAACCGATAACCGTTGGGGAAGAAAGGTTCTCGAGTGGCAGCCTCGTACTGGCCATCGCAGTGTAGGACGACCCCCCACTAGATGGAGTGACGACCTGTGCAAATGTGCGGGAAGTCGATGGATGCAGGTGGCTCAGGATCGTACTTCGTGGCAGTCTATGGGGGAGGCCTATGTTCAGCAGTGGACTCAAACAGGCTGAAATGATGATGATGATGATGATGAAGGATTTATATAAGATGTTTCTAAAATCACTGTTGGACTAAGAACTCGTTTTTAGGGGGTATATTTTACACACTTTTATAAATCGCAATACTATAGAGCAAAAAACATGTAAATAGCTAGCTACTATACATTAATACATTATACACTAATACATTATATTGCTTAAAGCTGTCTTTATCTAGAAATCAATATATACTGCAGGAATTGATCTAGTGGGTTTGAGTTAGAACTGATCGAGCTTAGAAAGGACAAGGCGCAGGGTACCATGTGAGTAATTCAATAGAGAACAGACATGTTTTATGGGATCTTGCGTAATTCAAGGTAGAACCCCTCATGCTCAAAATCACGGTTTTAAGGAAGGCGAAGTCTCTTCTCTGACTCTATTTTCTGATCCTCTGAAATAATTTCTATTCCAAACAAATATTGAATATCAAGCTCCGATTAATTGGAAATTACTGATTAATAAAAATCTTGAATATAAATGAACTGTGTATTTTCGGTTGGTTCGTAACAATGTTTGAGAAGGCCGATTTACGTGCGTCTGCGACGGTGGTAGTTAGCGAGTGTCGCGTTGGTGAAGGTAGAAGTGCGCTTGCGATCACCGCTGTTGCTGTTGAATAGGTTATATAGGTATATATATAGCAGCCAATAGCAATGTCGGACCGCGATGACGAGGAGTACGTCGACGTGAAGTCAGGAACATATTCCCCGGGCTGAAGTACGAAGGCTTCAAGATGATGAACATGTTGAGACTGGAAGAGGACAAATGTTATTGTATGCACGTGTGATGGTGCCTTTCGTTGCAAGGATGTCAGCCACTTTACTACGACCATCAGATCCTGGCTTAACAGCAGTGACCCTGCCCACCAGCCAGAGAAGTGGACGTCGATTTATTTCCTTGACTAGGACCATGATGCCTATCTTCAGATCTTGACCTAGGGAATTCCACTTCATTCTCTGTTGTAAGAGAATAATATACTCATTAATATAACGCTCCCAGAAATGCTAACGGAGTTTTTCGATCCTCTGGTAGCTTTGAAGTCGCTCGATCTTGCTTGAAGGAGATAAGTAAAAAGACCAGAAGGATCGGTGGATAGAGGCGTCCGGGGTCTGTAATTTAAAATGTCATTTATAATTATAATCATACACCCTAATGTCGTAACTATATACCTTCATCTTATTTCGCAATGAAGCACTATCTCGAATAATTTTAAATGACAATGTTGTGAAAATAAACGGAATACCTAATTAAGAAAGAAAATGTAGTGTTTGAGCAGCTATTCACTGAGATCTCATATCGAACCATCGATGGCCTTTGACGTTTACAAGGTCTTGGGAAGCAAGTGTTGTCTTAATTAAGAATATTTTTTGAGTTGCAGTTCAAATTGTTATAAAATAAGAAATATTGTTATTCAATATATGTATGAACATCTTGTGTGGTAGCTTAAAATTAAAAAAGAATACATAGATACTTAGGCATCGTTTTAAATTTGAAAAGCAGGATGATGTAAGGATACACTTATAATTAACAAATACTGCCAGGAAATACAATTTATAATTAGTTTTCAAAGCGTTTGCAGAAATTTTAGTACGTAAAATTCAAAATACAAAATGTGAGATGTCAGTGTAACAGGCTCTGTTTCTCAAAGTATTTCTTCGCATTTATAAGAAACTCGCAAATACAGCAGGTATTGTTGTGTATAAAAAATTGTTGACAGATTCACTGGATCGTTAATGATAAACTTAAACTTTTATCGACCACCCAAAGATTGACTGGTAGATAATGCTGATGGCATGAAATCCGCGTCTGTGCATATTTTGTGTGCATAAATAAAAATACAGAAAAGTGCTACGTTTTGGGTTGCATAGTATTTACACATTTGCACATTTTATATGGAAACAACATGTAAAAAGTGTCATTTTTGGATCTGCGCCTTCCATCTAGTTGTAACTTTCGTCAAGAGTAACGGATTCTGTAATATATCTTTATAATTCTTTGGGTATATCCTAATATTAAAAATATTCCATGTAGATTACTAATCCGAACATCCAAATTTCTAATAACCGCTAATAAGTTCCCTTTTTTTCATAACTCCTCATTTCGAGAACTCTGTCACAGCTATTATCGGAATATTTGGCGTTAAAACCTCGAGCAATGTCTAGTTCCGTGGTCAATCGGAAGGTAAGGTCAAATTGGCCTCAAAGAAGCTTGGGGTTCTCAGTAAGGCGGGACAGTACTTCACATCGGCTCAACGCCTAAACTTCTATAAGGCGCAAATTCGGCCCGACATGGAGTACTGTTCTCGTCTCTGGGCGGGAGAGCCCCTTATTACTTATTCTGCTGAAAATCGTGTTTCTGACGGACTATTTTAACAAACTAAATATTCACTCTTTTCTCTGGAAATAAATATATTTGTAGGTAAATTATATCATCATATTACAACGTATATTGCAAAATGTATACGTTTTCCACCATTATCGATACAATAGCGCCATATACTCGTAGTCTACATTGCTGTTATTAAATTAGCCCGTTTTCTCTTGTCAGTACTAAGTTATTCGCTTCTCAAATCTCGCTCAGCCAGTATTTACTTAAATCAAGAACTACAAAATAGATTGATGAAACAAATCTAATTAGCTCCAAGGTTACTCTGATACAATAATATTCGTAAAGCTGTAGTTAATATAATAAACGAACAATTACACTGTGGACATATTTCAACTTGTGATCTTTGAAAAGAAATAAGGTTTAAAATTTATATTTAATTTTTAAACACTAAAAGTTTTTGCATACAGTAACCTACTGTCAAACTAATTAATAACGGTTTATTACTGAAGCATATTTTTTTTTAATAATTTTGTTGTAATCAACAATATATATATTAAGTTTATTTTTTATGTGCTGTTGTTTGTTATAAAAGTTGCCAAGCGAGCAGACGGTTCACCTGATATTAAGTGAATACCGCCGCCCATGGACATCTGCTACACCCAAGGGTTCCAGATGCGTTTACAACCTTTTGAAAATTGGGCTCCGGCCACCTCACTCACCAAACGAAACTTGAAAATATTATACTTCCACTTTACGCCGATCTTCTGTGAGGTCGTGGTACTTACCCGGACGAGCCTGCCCATTCGTGTGAACAGCCGAGGCTGCTGCGTGCCCCTACCACCGTATATTGTCGTTATTGACTTTGTTTCCGTTCTTCAAAATGACATATTTCTTTTTTTACAGGTGCTTATGATGCGCAACTTACAATATGGTAAGCAACATTTTATGAGCGAAGGCCGATCTTAAGGATTTCGACGCTATTACGAGTATGTTATATATACTTCCAGTAATTCTATTTAGCAAGTTTTGTTTCAGATTAAGCGTAAGGTATTCAAGAGATAAGATGAGATCCGTTTGTAAATTTATACATCGGAAGGTTAAAAGTTTTGAATTATTCGAAATTCGTCAAAATAGCTATGTTGTGCGGAAACGGAAATAATAAAATGTGTTAAAAGTGCAGTCAATGGGACCCTCATGGAGCGTGTGCAGATAAATCAGTCTGTACCAAACAAATATCACCGCCCTGAGGCAACTTATAAAAGTTGTTCTCAATCGCTGCCGCTTGATATACTGTAAGTTTTATTTATACGACTAAGTTATTGCTTAATTCGATTTTTTTTGCAAAACGTTGAAAAAATTCTGTTTGTACTGACTAAATATAAATATAGAGAGCGAGTAGTGATAGTGGTTTAACTCCTCTCCTAATTACTTTTGAGCTAGATAGCCCTCGAAGTATTAACATTAAATTTTAATATTTGTATCTCATTTTAGTGATCCTTAAATAAATAATGATCTTGATTACTGAAAGCATTGTGTAATCATTAGGACAAATCTCAAAGAGCAATGGTTGTCGACCTGAGAGATGAATGTACATTATTAACTACAACTTATCATATAAGTTAAAAAAGTACGACAAAGCCAAAAATGGAGCGAAATTTTCGAAGTGTAATATAATTAGGTCAAATAAGTTTCCGTATCAAGATCAGATAGGGCTTGCAATCAAACTAATAAGCACCCTAGAAAGTAATCAAAGTTCACATCGCCGCCTGGAAAAGGTATCGAACAGTCAGCGTGAAAAGAAAAGCTACAAACTTTAGCGGCGTGTGATTATGAAAAATTGTCACGTCGAACTTAATTTACGGTAATAACTAATAAGCACTGATAACACACTAAATAATAATATTTTCGGTGTAACATCACTCAGCATCTTTGGCTTTGAATGGGGAAGTGCCACGACCTCACAGAAGGGAGCCATAAATTTTATGATCCTATTTTTGCGTCTTTATGTGCGGTATTTAGTAGGATAATCAGGACCTAGGAGCATTAGAGATTTCTATGGGCAGTGGTAATCACTTAACATCAGGTTTTTTGGTAAATGTATGCTGCTTTATCATCATGTTTTATAAAAAAGCTGCGGCAAATAAAACTGATCATGGTCGTCAGCACTTGATACGCCACACAAAAGTACTTAGCAGAACAACTATTCTTTTACTTCTTTTTATCTTAAGGAACTTTGTAAACTAGTACAGGAAAGTAGTTGCTTATCTAATTAATTTATCTAACACCTGCACATTTTATTGATAAAGGTGGTTGCCGCGTTCTTCGTTTCGACCGGCGGAAGGTGAATTGGCGGACTGCGTGTTAGTTGTGGGCGTGTCTCGACCCAAGCTAGCTGCGGCCTTACTCTCTGTCACGCTACTATCACTCTTTCTTACCTTCCATGTCCTGTATGACAGTGCGTTATATAGTATTCAAGTAAGTTTTTTAGTTTCATTTTTTAAATTATGACTTAGTTATTTTCATCAACGTAATATGCACACACCCCGGCTTTTATTTTCATCAACGAAACAAGAGCTCACGCCATTTGGCCTATACATTAAACATGGATAGGTAACTCTAAAATGGTTTAACAAAACTTATGCCATTTTATTTGAACCTGTGACATAAAAGCCCTTTATGCACCCTATATGTCGCCTGTGAGAAGATTTCCTAATTTTTAATAATCTAAATGGAACAAAACTTTACAGTATTACAATAGCAATAAATACTGGACTAACATACTATAAAGTCACGTTACATTTATATATAAACGTTTTGAAAAAATAAAAAAAATCTTCAAGACATTGCATGTTGTAAATTCAGATGTCATAAGAGGTGAGACTATTATTTCAATAAACGCTAAGATATCAAATATCTTTATTGGGGAAAACCAATGTTTTCGATAACCCTAATATAACATTATTTTATCGTATTTGTATAAATTATGAAATTTTCCATATAATATATCTATCTAACTATGAACTAGTTTATCTTTGTAGTTTTTGTCATAAAATCAACGAAGTAAATATCGGATTTTACAATAAGTAAGTGTAAGTTTGTTCTTCATAAAGAGGCATATTGAAATATACTTTTATTATTTTACTTGGGAATTATAATCAAGTGGCCTTAATGTAGCTCAATGTGATAATTTCGTTGACGTTCAATTAACCGCACCGTAGCCAAAAGGCTTATACCAATATATTTTGTGTACATAAATTGACGAGAATCAATTACGTGGATGCTTTAGTAATTACAGGGATCGTTGCTTCGAACACATCAAACATTCATTGAATAACTCAAACAAGGTCACTTATGGCATCATGTATTAAATGGAAATGCCATGGTATTTACAGGCGTTTCATTTATTAAAGGCTAGGATATTTAAAGACGACCTTGTATTTCTTCCATCGATTACCAGAAGTACCTGGGTAGCAATGGGACAGGTATAGCTTATGTATTATCTACTAATGAAAAAAAGGCACCCTCATGTTGTGATGGTTAAATTTGACTTCTCTATTATGATTGAGTTTTGCCAAAATCTACCAAAAACATTCATAAATAAAAAGTTATTTAAATAATTTAGGAGTTTTTAATGATCATGAACGTGGATATTATATAATAACTTTCACAATAAAACAGGCATTGTTAATTAGTTCTCAAGATTAACATTTTATTTAAAATTTCATTTTGATTATTAGTTAGTGGAAATCTGTAACCTCTGCTCACTGTTTTGGTGATAAAATTACTATTTCTTTAATTAAACTTTTTATGATAGGCAGCGAGTATGGCCTCAGTCGCACACGAGAACCGTAATATTCTACAAAACCAACAAACGAATACTCGTACCATAAACCATCCAATGTCATTGCGGAAACGACTTAAACTTCCACGACCCCCACGGCCGGTGCGCAGACTTCCTCAGGTACGGTGCTATATTATTAAGAACCAAAAATTCATTTGCTCAAATTGTGGATTAATTCTGTAACGTGCGTACATGAACGCTACTTTTACTTCGAGTTCTTACTTTTATATTACCCTTTATGACGCGTTGGTCAGTTTACGGTTACAATGCAAACTGATGGTACGTGGTAGAAAACCATTCCCTGACTGCAGAGAGATCGTTTTAGTCCTGGCTTGTAATCGCCATAACAATGAAGTCCTATTATATTGCGCGTCTAGTGTTCTGACGTTAGAAGGTTGGAGAAATTAAGTAACACTGCCCATAAATGTGCACTCTCCGGAATGTGTTTTATAGGACATCGGGAGTCCTGAAGACTGGGCAGATTGGTCCCAACTAAATCCATATCAACATTTAGTCGTATCTCTTACCTCTTCAACGAGTATGACAATTTATGACATTTTTAGACTTATGCCGGTAAGAATTACCATTACAATACCACATTTGTGAAGACCACCCAACTATGTTGCAACTGCTTTGATTTTAATACATATGTATATTCATTTAATATATAAAATTCTCGTGTCACAGTGTTTGTAATTGAACTCCAACGAAACGGCTCGACCGATTTTTGTAAAATTTTGTGTGCATATCGACCAAGGTGGAGAATCGATAACATCTATTTTTCATCCCCCTAAATGTTAAGGGCGGTCCACCCCAAACATTTTTTTCTACCCTACAAATAATTTATATGGCATAACAACGTTTGCCGAGATAGCTAGTAGCTTATAAGAAACAAATGTGATGTTGCGTATCTAATGAATATTGTGCATATATCATCACCATCATCATTTCAGCCTGTAAGCGGCCACTGCTGAACATAGGACTCCTCTAGGGATTTCCACTTTGATCGGTTGGAAGCGGCCTGCATCCAGCGAAGTCCTGCGAATTTGGACAGGTCGTCAGTGCATCTTGCGGGTGGACGCCTTACACTGCGTTTTTCAACACGTGGTCTCCTCTCGAGAACCTTGCTGCCCCATCGGCCGTCAGTTCTGCGAGCTTTGTGACTTCCCATTACCACTTCAGATTGCAAACCCGCTTGACTGCGTTCATTTATAGTGTTCATATATAGTGTACTTATATAGTGTATGAACAATAAAATTATTTTTGTCTTGTTTTAAGACAAAGAGTGTAAATTATTTTAGATTATATTTTATTTTACATCTATAATAAATGTTCTTCTCTCGACAGGCTTTAATTATCGGAGTACGAAAATGTGGAACTCGTGCTCTCTTGGAAATGCTGTATCTTCATCCTATGGTACAGAAAGCGTCAGGTGAAGTCCATTTCTTTGACCGCGACGAGAATTATGCTCTTGGACTTGATTGGTACAGGAGTAAAATGCCACTATCCTTCAAAGGGCAAATTACGATTGAAAAGAGCCCAAGTTACTTTGTAACACCTGAGGTATGCTGGATTATTCATTAGAAACTATTCATTTTCGAAATGTTTAAAAAGATAATATAATAAAGACAATAAAATACAATAAATATAAAAGTTAAAGATAGTTTAATAAGATAATAAAAGATATATAATATCGACGACCCGAATGGCGTAGTGGGTAGTGTACCTGCCTCCTGCGCCAGAGGGTGTGAGCTGGATCCCCCAGCTCACACCCTCTGGCGCAGGAGAAATACTGGAAAAATATTGTGTGATAAACATGGTGTTTTTCTAGTATCTGGGTGTTTATACTATTATGTATAATATGTATTTTTATACAAAAGAAAAATATGTTTAAGTATGTTTATCAATTATCTAGTACTCATTGTACAAGCGTTCTTAAGTTTGGGACTAGAGAACGTACGAACGACGTTAGAATACATTCATAAATAAAATAAAAATAGCCTTTATTACTACAACCACTTTAAACTTTTTTTTTTTAACATATTTACATTTTTGTTTTTAACATACACTATATAATATATACTTTTTTTTTTCTTTATTTTTTTTTTTATAAAATATTAGGCAGTAGTCGCGTCGACGGCGTAGGCCTCTCCTAATTCTTCCCAGATTTTTCGATCACGCCTTTCGCATCCATAGGGATCCACATCTAAGGTTGAAGATGTCTCCCCACCTTTTATTTGGTCTTCCTTTTTTCCTTTTCATATCTCTTGGAATCCATTCCGTTAGGCGTTTTGCCCATCTGTTATTGCTCATCCTACAGACGTGTCCTGCCCAATGCCATTTGAGTAATCTTATTCTTTTCTTTACATCTATCATTTTTGTTTTTTTCCTGATTTTGATATTGCTGACCTTATCAGATAGTTTTAGACCAAGCATGCTTCTTTCCATTTTACGTTGGCAAATGGCTATTCTCTCTTCATCTTCTTTTCGCAATGACCACGAAACCAGAATACATTCATAACAGTGTTTTAAATCAATTATGGGTTTCAGGTGCCTGAACGCGTTCGCGCAATGAATTCCTCCGTGCGGTTACTTCTCATAGTCCGGGAGCCAGTGACTCGCGCTATTTCCGATTACACGCAGTTGCGTAGTCGTGCCACTCCATCTGTTCCAGCGCATGCCCTTGCAGGCCTTACTCCTCATCTAACCCCTGACGCTGCAAAGCCATTTGAACATCTTGCAATATCTCCTGATGGATCGATTAATGTCGCTTATAGGTACAATAAATTAAGAAATATAGTTTAAATATATTTTTTGGTAATGTTAATCACAATAAACATTTTAACACATTTGTCATATGGAAGAGTTTAATATGATAACATGTATTATTTACAGACCAATAGCGATATCTCTGTACCACGCTTACATGCACCGGTGGCTCGAAGTGTTTCCCCGTGAACAGATATTGGTTGTAAATGGTGATCAACTCATAGAAGACCCAGTGCCACAGTTGCGTCGCATAGAGAAATTCCTGGGGCTAGAACACAAAATTGGTGAGTTATAACGCTAAATGTAAACTACATTTTCTTAGTTTATTAATGTACACTGTTGATCAAATAGCTTGTATTATTTCATAACAGGTAGGAAGAATTTCTATTTCAACGAAACGAAGGGATTTTACTGTTTACGTAATGACACTACTGACAAATGTCTTAGAGAGACCAAGGGCCGCAAGCATCCAAGGGTTGATCCAGCTGTCGTAACTAAACTGCGTAAGTTTTTCGTGCAGCACAATCAACGATTTTATGATCTCGTCGGTGAGGATCTTGGATGGCCTGAAGATTAATTCGTCTCGAAATTATATTTGCATCATATGGTTCAATCCTGTGGGCTTATATTAACTATTACTGTGTGATCGAATACATATCAATGTTGTAATACAAGTCATATCAAAACATATCATTAGTGGTTTAAGGTTTTTAAACGATTATATTTACATTTAAGAAATCGTAGTTAAGGCACTTAAAGGATTATTTATTTATAGTTGAAATGAATTTAAATATACCTACTTATGTAATTCTAATGAATATTTGCCCTCACTATTTATTTACGGATTCTTTTTTTATGGAATGGCGGGAAAATGTAAACGTATCAAGGTTTAGTTTATGAGCAACGTCAAAGTGAGGGAACAAGTGTTTAAAAAAAAGGATGCATTAGTTACTAGTTGTAATATTTTGTTATACGTGCAGCCTTAAAATAGAATTATTCTACAAGCGATTACCGTATTGAACTGATTTGATGAACCGACCCACTGAAACCCTGAGCAATATATTTTTATATATTATTATTAAGTATTGTGTGCAACTTTATACAATGTTGGTTAGGTATACAGATATGAATTAACCTATTTGTGATGATTTCATTCTTAGAAACAATTGATTTGATAGCGATAAGAGAATAAAATATACCTACTATTAAATAATATTAAAGAAAAGAGAATAAGTGTTGTATTTTCGCTTTCTCCTTTCAATGTTGTAATTTGGTCGTGCTCTGTATCTGAATGTGTTTTTGTTAAAGTGAATGTGATTTTTCTCTATATTAGGAAACATTTCATAGAGTCCAAATTCGAAACTTGATTGATTCTTAAAATATTGTAGTCATAATGTTGTTGAATTGTCTTCATTAGATCAAATGTATAAGCAATTATAGAGCTTCGATAATATTCTGGGTGTTCGTGAACTTCTATTAAATCAAAGTTTAATTGTTTAAATTTCATATGATTTATAATTCAGCCTGTAGTTATAATAGTAGACAGAATCACGCTGAGTTCTTACGATTCACTGAAAAAACATTAAAGTGTTACATTCGACGCGGGTTTTAGAAATATTCTATTTAAGTGTAACGTCCAAGACTGAAGAGCTAGTTGAATAAGTCTAAGTAATACCTATTTAGCATAAAATGTCCATAGGTAATACGGAAGACGATCGAAATGAATTAAACGCCCATCATCAAAGTTAACATCACGGCAGACCGGAAGCATTTTGGTACAAGTAGATACCGCGTTTACGATAAACTAAATGTAAATTGTTTAAATACGAAGCTTCCAAACCCAATGTTCTGAATCAACGAATATTTACATGTTTTATATTTCGAAATTATTAAAAATCATGTATTAAGCACATACATGCACATAAAATATACGATAGTATAAAATTGTGATTTACAGTCATTTTGGGTAACGATATATACCTATTTAACGAGAATATTTGAAAGATTTTTCGGGAAATTGTTCGCGTTTTACTGAAGTAAACATGACTAATGACGATGGTACCAAAATTTAATACAGTTATAAAACATAAACCCATGTCGTAAGTACTTCAGTATCACATGCGCACACAAGAATATCAAGCATATCAAATTATCGGTAAATTACTGTTAAGTTTTTTTAGATTAAATTAGATGTTTAAATTTATTAAGTTATACTTTAAAATTTTAAGAACATCTTTGATTGTTTAGGGTTATTTCAATAGTTATTAGATAATTTTAATCACTGTTAAATGTTGTGCACTTTAATAAGACGTAGTATAACATCCAAGTAGGGCAATAATTTTATAGTATATTGTTTTATATTGCGATGTCTTACAATATTTCAATTTATTAATACCTTATTTTCTATTTATTGCTAACACTAATATCGTTTCTACATTTATCTATTCTCTTAATTGTTTAACATTTTATTAATATTTCTTAAAATGTTAATTTTCCTACTAAACAAGTGTTATTATAACAGTATTACATGTCTGCTATTTGACATTATATACTTGTAAATATCCTCTCAACTTTCTTTCCTTGTGTATATTGTACGTCTTCAATAAAAATAAAAATAAACGATGTTTTTTTTTTGTTATTATCGCAACCGCAAATTCTTTATTACATGCAAATATTTTTACATTAGGTAAATCATAATATGAAACACAATAGTAATAAAAAGATTTAAAACTCAAATTTCTTAATTATCTTTGTTGACGTTTACTTTAATTAATTTTGTGCCTTGTAGATGTTTCCTTGTTATTATTATCACGAAGAAAAAAGTTTAGATAGATCAAAAACAATACGTCATTATAGCATCATTTATATAAAGTACCTAATATGTGTTCCTTACCTACCAGATGATATTCAATAGATACTCTCTATACAACTTGTTTAAAGGTAGATGTCCATAGACGGTGGTAATCACTGAAGATCGTGAGTTCTCTATAAAAATTATTGACAAATTTTTCATTGGTGTTAATTCCATAAATAAAGTCCCTAACCTTATTATGACTCCTTCTCATGTTAGCGCAGCGTTTGCAGGCTGGTTTAATTTTTTCCATTTTAAACGCAGCCGCGAAGGAATTCGTGGCAGAATTGTGACTGACGAATAAAAATCATTTGTACAGGTTTGCCTAGCTTGTTCCTTCCATTTTATAGTTAGTGGCATTTGTTTCCAACAGTAACTCGTTCAACAATAATAACTATTTAATTCGCAACCAAAAGCTGTACTAAAATAATTGTTTCATCCTTTGTAATGGGTGCTAGCTACGTTGATTATAAAAATAGATCTCTCAAAATTTGAACGCAATATAAAATACATTGTCAAAAATGTCCTTCACAGATATTTACCGGTTTCATTTTAAATCACCTACAAAAACAATAATAGACATATGAAGAAGAATTTAATCGTTAATCGTTAAACTGTCAAAACGTAATTTATTACTGTATTTCATATAACAAGGAATTAAAAATAAAAAATAAAACAAGTTTGCGTAATATCGTTTCGTGGTCATATAGTAGAACGAAACATTCGGAGAAGGTTAGATAAGTAAAAAGGAAAATTAATCTAGCATTCCTTAAAATAAACAACACTAATCCTTGATTGTGAAACGCAAATTAAAGTTAGATAAGCTCTTACTCATAATCGGGGGCCTATCCTTAATCTTAGAAAGTTAAATGGTCCTAAATTTGTTTCAGTTGACAAATGACATCGTAATCATTAATCTTAACATTCATAAGTAATTTTTTTTAAATGGCAATGCGCCAACCCAATGCACATGTACCGTTTCACCAAAAAATATAAGTATTTGATGTTATGAAACTAATACAACTATATCTGGTTACATTTAGATAAGATATAATGAAATCGTATTGTCTCCAGTTATTTGCTATTTTTGACTTAAATTTTCATGAACAAAATCTATATTTTTTTCCTGAAAGGTCAACGCATCTGCCATTCTTTTCCTAATCTCTTACCACGAGGTAAGCACCTTTCTTGACGGATTGCCATTAAAAATCCATAAAAAAAATTTAAACAAAAGTCACGTTTCCAATGATATCTCACAAAGTTGTTGCAGTAATGAAATGTATCGCTCCACGGCTCACGACAGATGATAAAGGACGATCCATTAGTGGAGGGTGCGGTAACTTTACGTTATATATATTGAATATACCTTGTAAAACCTTCGACGGTTTACACCTTCAGCGCTATTATGGAGTGGAAATGCCCAGCAATGTCTTATAAGTTTTTAGGATGTCTTTATCTTGACAGAACTATAATCAAAATGTTACATCATTGCATATTAAGTATGAGAGTGTGATTATCATTCTAAAGTATAAATGCAGTATACACTAAGAGTTGAGATGAGTAAGGCGCAAGACCTAAAACGATTGTTGGGAATGGATCTCCCGTTGTAACAAATATTAAAATTTTCCAATGAAGATGAAATTTGAAATTTGAAATTCCTAGAAGTACACATATTCATATAAAAGTAGTGACATCCTAAAATATTCAGAAAATATAATTCATTAACTTAATAAATTTTATATGTTTGACCATTTTTAATTTATTTTAGGTTCTAATGGTGATTTTTTTGGTTTTTCGAAATCTACTCAAAAAATAGGAGGTTCTTAATTAGATGGTATTTTTTAAATACTTGTAACCTCAGAACTCGGCCGTTTACGAACTGATTATAAAACTTGTTTTTGCATTGGGTTCGGGTCCCATGTAATCATACCTTATCTTTGATATTGGAACTCGAACTTCGAAGATATTTCACAGAACCCCCTCAAATTCAAATAGGAAATGTATAGCGAGTGAGTTGAGTTTGATTTGAAGTCGGATAGTTTTTTGGTAACAAAAAATTTATATGTATTTTATTTCTCACAATGCTTGAATAATACAACTGAAAGTGGCAAATAAACCGCTTCACACCGTACGAGGGGAAGCCGGGGTAATTCGTGAAACGTTAACGAGCCCAGTGCCGTCAACCACAAGCTTATCTGATGGCTGTTGTTACAAGTCATTTCGCTGTAAACGACGGGCCTGGTCGGTAGCATTTCAATTAGACAACTGGCTGTTGCCGTTAAACGAATTAACTTATCGTTTTATCATAGCTAAATGTTTGAGTGTGCAATTCGTCGTAAATTAGACACACTACGAAAATCAGCAAATAGTGACACGATATAACACACAGGTAATAAACAGATTAAACAAAAGAGTGTTAAACTATGTAAGTTGTTCAGTTGCATTAGAATTTTCATACAATTAACAAAGTTTGAAAGGAATTTCAAAAATCATTTAATGTAATCCAAAATTAGCTTAGTCTTTACTAATATTTCATTGCTTTGTTTTTACAATTTGGCAAGTGAGCTTTTTTTTTTTTTTAAAAAAAACATTGCCCTTACTTTAGGATAACATTATCCTGTGTTGTAAGGACGTTTTACAAACATAAATTTCACGCGGACAAACACCCAGATGCGGAACAACTATCTGCGGGTCACACAAACAGTTATTCCGTGTGGGAATCG